AATATAAATATATATATATATATATAATATATAAAAATTTTTTTATATACGAAGTAAAAAAAAATATTTATATGAATTTAATTAAAATTTAATTTGTAAATTTGATTATTAAAGATATTTCTTTCAATTTTAAAATATAAATTTTTGATGCAAAATCAAATATGCAATAACATTTATAGGACATGAAATTAATATTAATTGAGTATTATATGATTCACGATATATTTTTAAGAAAAAACATAGGATATATACTATTATAGAATAACGGCACACATTAAAATTTACAAATAAAAGTATTCATAGAAATATGTATATCTAAATGAATATAAAAAATATTATTTATAATTATAATCTTTATAAAAAACACGAGAAATATTCTATACGATATCATACATACTATTTGCAAAAATGTGTTTTTTTTTACGTAATTTACAATTTAAAAATTATTGAAATATACATTATTTTTATACTGTAATAAATAGAATTCTGTACATATTCAAAAAAACTTATAAATTTAATTAAAATTACTTCTTATAATAATTATTTAAATATTCGCTTATAAGTACAATACATATTAGAAATCTATATAATCTCGTATCTCGAATTCGTAAGCATATCATTAAGATCAAGATCCTATACGATATTCTTTTGCAATCGTATGTAAACCACCAATAGAATTGTTTAAAGTTTAAGAATATATAATATTTAAAAGATAAGATGAAAATGTTAATTCATAATTTTTAAAATCGAAATCTCATTTCTTTGATACAATTATTATGTATGTATGTTTACGATTTTCTATGATAGAAATACATAGTTTCGAGTATATGCTGACAAACATATTAAAATTATACAGAATAAGATTAAATGAAATTAAATGAATTGTAAAGAAAAATGATGAAAAAGAAAAAAAAGAATTACATGACAGCGCAACAACTTTTTTCGGAATGATTATCACCGACAATATCACTAGTATTTCCGGTGAATCGTTGAAAATCTCTGCCAGTATTGAGTTCTGAACTGCAAATAGGCGACACAGGAATACCATTTCCATTGGCATCTATCGATCCAGCAGATATATGCCGATTTTGTGCTCTTTGTTTCTTCAAATCCGATAATGATTTGACAAAAACTACCGAGACGTGTATGTTGATCTTGCCGTTGGTGTCACCATCTGATGCGTAGATCTGCTGCTGATTACCGACCGGTAGGTCGGACCCTGTCACTATTGAGGCAAACATGTAAATCCAATGCTACTTCTGTTCCTTGTGATTCACGTGAAATTTGTTTTCCTTCCCTTTCATTCCATTCCACCTTGCTTTACCCTCCACCTAATTCCCTTTTTCATACACTGAAATAGCACTTCAAAAGAAACTCAACTAGTGTGGAAACTAGCTGCCATGCGCTAAGCGGCACATGCTTTAGCAATAAGCATTAAAAACATTGCATGATGGAGTTCCAGAAATATGTTTTCTATATTTTACATAAACATTTTTTTCATTTCCTACCTTCTATCATTTTCTACCTTTCTATCTATTTATTATATTTTCAGACTTTAAAAGAATGAAGAAAATTTTAACAATTTTTTTAATTCTTTTTTTATTCCGTTAACGATGGATTTTTGTTTATTAATTTGTTATATTGTAAACTAAATTTTTAAGATTTTAAAAATATATTCAATTATATAAATATATAATTGAAAAAAATATATAATTTACAAAATTTATAATTACAAAATTTTTTTATAAAAAATAAAAAATTTAGTTTACAATTTAATTACTATATGCATTAACTTGTAAATAAAAATATATACATAAATAAGTATAAAACGAATATAGTTGAATTCTCTGGAACATTAAAATAATTTAATTTGTCCTAAAAATATAAATTAATGTAAACTTGAGCTGTGTCAATGTCCAAACATATTTTTCATTATAATGGAATAATATTACTTCAAATCAATCATTTCTTAATTTTGCTGCTTTTAACTTAGATAAGATAAAAAGTAACATTTTTTTAATCATAATAATAAATAAGAAATATTTTAATAATGTCATAATTTTAATTATTTTAAAAAATAATAAACATACTATATAATATTAACTATCAATATTCTATAATAATATTTTTGTAGCAATAATTAAAAATAGATTTAAATATTTATTAAAAAAATTAAAAAAAGTTCATAATTACATCATATTAAACTCTTTAAAGTTTGAAAGCAAATATAATGGTTAATAATAGTGTTAAATTTTATCAATGTGATCGATTTGATGTAGAATTTGTAAAAAAATTCTATTAATAACTATAGTAATATGAAATGTCGTGACACAACCGACCTCGTAACGATCTTATCATTTAGCGATAAAACTAAAAGACAGGAAGACACATTACGCGAATACATAACTAACATTGAGCGAATACAATTAACTATTAGCATAACATGTTAGGTATGTGAAAAAGTTCTATTCTATTTTTTTAACATTGATTTTATTATTGATATATGGATTTATTTATTTTATTGTACAAACATTAAACTATAAAATGATTATACATAAAATTGCAAATAAAAATGTAAATGTTTGTTTGTCAAAATGAAATTAATAAAGAATAAAAATATAAAATATAAAATAATTATGAATTATTTTAAAAATTTATATATTATATAATATATATAAATTTTATATATATATATATATATATATATATATATATAAACAGCAATAATTATATTATTCTTGATTGTTTGAATAAATAAGGAAAATGACAGAACTTTTCACAAACCTAGTATATATGTATTAAAGTAATTCGATATGTTTGATTTTTTATTTCATCAACATTTTTATATGATATGTAAGTATATATATATATATACACATATATATATATATATATATATATATATACATATATATATATATATGTATATATATATGAAAGTGCTCATTGAATATTAATTATTGATGCATTATAATATAGATTCAAATCTACTTGATCTGTTTGATAAAATATTGAATATAGATAATAATATTATCAAATAAAGCTATATTTATAATATTTTATTTCTTCATAAAGTAATGTTAAGGAAATATATTAAATGTACATAATACAGTCATCTTGATCCTACAGTATATATGGGGAATATTAGTGTATTGTAGATGTGCGTTTAAGCTTAGAATATTCTAAATTGTATTAAATACAAAAACAATATTACAAGAACTTGGTTCTTAATTGTTAAACTTATTACAATGTTTCTTCGCATATAACAATCAATAAGCTTTGCCAAATGCTAACATATTATTTGAAATAGCAAGAAAGTACTAAAAAAAAGCCAATGCAATTTAGCTTTTGCGACAAAATATTCGATTTTTATACTAGGAAAATATTATCAAAGAGAAAACATATGTATACACAGAACATATAAAAATAATTCAATCTTATAAGAGAAAATTTCGAAATGTACAACCATGTCATTAAAAGATTAAAAAATAATAGAACGTTATGTTCAAAAATACGTTTAAAGAAATAAGAAAGTGACATAGAAAACTGACCTCGCAATTATTCAGGAGCACGACGCAGTAGTAACAGAAAAAAGAAAAGGCTGATAAATGATTGATACTATATTTTTTTAAATAATTCATAGTAAAAATTATTATACTAATATAATAATAACTGATTATTTTAATTTTTAATTGTCAGTTTTTAATTAATTTTTTGAATCATTAAAAATTTTTTACTAAATTAAAAATATTTTGAAAAATATTTTGTTTTAAACATAATAAGCGCATAGTAAATATAAAAATATGATTACTATACAACGTTAACAAGGTCGAGTTATGCGACCAAACGCACAGATTATATGGACATGACACGTATTTTTTTGCACAATTTTATATATAAAATTACTATTTACCAGAGGATTCTACTTAACCATAACCAATGTGAATTTAACATATTTTGGAATATACCTGATTCTTTATCGACGTCTTCATGAAGGAAAGATTCATTATCCTTTCCCTCAGGTGCTTTGCGTACAGCAGTTGGTGGTGCATTATTATCTGTTTCACTGGTTATATTTTCTCGTATATTAGCTTCATTTTCTGATTGTGGAACATTAGTAGTGGAACCACCATATGTCTGAAATATACAATTTCTTTATTATTTAATTTCAATTTGTTTCTAACATTATATAATTAATAAAATAAAAATCTACTTTTCTTTTCTACCTGTTGTGCTTGTAATCTAAGTCGAGCTTCTTCTTGAGCATCTTTTTTCGTAGTTAAAACTTTATCTCTTATTGAAGTTCTTCTTACGCTTTGAGTACGCGTATTTATACTTTGAGATCTGCGTACTCGTCTTCCCTGTGCTTCACGTAATCGTTTACTTTCTTGTTCCGTTTTAAGTTCTACTATTCTTTCTTTAATTTCTGAATCTTCGCAAATATCTATAAAATTTTATAAATGTTATTAATTTAATTTTTCATTAATATTTTAAAAAGTATATATTTTTTTATATAAAAAATAATTTTTTAAATTTTATTAAATATGAATATTTTTACCAGCTGGAGTTTCATCATGTTTATTTTTCGCATTTAAATCAGCTCCATTTTGTACTAATAACTCAAGAACTTCTAACTAAAAAAAAAAATAAAATAATTATAGAAAATAATGTTAATTTAAATAATTAATAAATATATAATATAATTCAATTCATACATGACCCCAGCAAGCAGCTGCATGAACTGGTTGCCACTTATCATTATCTTCAACATCAGTTGAAACATGTTGATCTAGAAGAAATTCAACTACTCTTAAATAACCATTTGCAGCTGCAATATGTAGCTAAAATTCAAAAAAACAAAAGAATCATTGATGGTTATTTTTTGAAATAAATGATCATAATAATTTAGTATACATACAGGTGTAGCACCTTGATGATCCTTATATTCTAAATCACCACCTATAGAAGTTATATTTTGTAAATCTCTTAACATTTGAACTTCAATTGAAGCTCTAGTTTCATCTATTAATTCTTGAGTAACACCTCGTCTTGCCATTTCACCTATGATTATATAAATAAATAAAAAGAAATTATTTGTATATTTTTATATATTTTTATTTTAAATTTTTTAATAATTTTTAATTTTTCATTAAAAATATTATAAATATTCTTACCTTCTATACAATCTAATGTTTTTTCATCTTCACAAATATCATAAGGCATATTACCATCTGCATTAACAGCTAATAAATTAGCACCTCTAACAATGAGATTTTTAACTAAATGTAAGTGACCACAAGTAGCAGCAGCATGTAATGGTGTCCATTTTTCACTATCTTCTGCATTAACATTTGCTCCAAATTCAATTAATAATTTCATCATTTCTTCATTATCATCTATACAACATTGATGTAAAGCTGTCAATCCATCTTCATTTGTTGAATCTGGATTTACTCCTTTTTTTAGAAGTCGTCTCACTAAAATATATATCTATTTCTTAATATGCTGATTCATATATTAAATTACATTGAATACAATAAAAAACAATCTAATGAAAATTATATCATATTACCTTCATCAATATCATTTCTTGCTGCAGCTTCTAAAAGCATTACACTATCGCTAAAATATATATGACGTTTATTACTTGTATGTCTGGTTTGATGTCGCATCCATTCTTTTTCACGTTGACGCCATACTTTTAATTGCTGAAGTCTTTTGAGACGAGCTAAATGCAATCTTTCTTGAGTTGTTAACCTTTCTATATGTACCATTTCTGCTACTAAATCAG